GTGTTTAGAATCCCTTTTTAAGCATTTGTCAGGTTTTACGTGGAAATTCTTGCCAAAATTTAGGTGCCACATGTAAATGGGAGTTTCTGTCCCACCCAGTCCTACAGCCATTCAGTCCCAAACAAACACACAGGGGCTGATATTGATTATAAACTGTTTGGCCTGTTGCTCAGGCTTATTACCCACAAGCTCTTACCTATGTTTAAGCCACATGTCGCTAGGTGACTTTTCTCAGTATGGCATTCTCATCTTGCTCCCTCTGCATCTGGCTGGTGACTGCGTCTCTGCCTTTCGTCTCCACAGAATTCTCCTAGTCTGGTTAGCCCCACCTATACCTCCTGCCTGGCTACTGGCTGAATGGTGTTTTATTAAACCAACACCAGTGAAAAATCTTTGCAGTGAACAAGAGCATCATCCCACATTGCATTCCTTTAACTATGTGAAGGTGTGTTGCTTTTTTATTTTTTGATTTTTCAAGACAGGGTTTCTCTGTATTGTTTTGGAGGCTGTCCTGGAACTCACTCTGTAGACCAGGCTGGCCTCCAACTCACAGAGATCCACCTGCCTCTGCCTCCAGAGTGCTGGGATTAAAGGCATGTGCCACCAACGCCCGGCCAGGAAGGTGTGCTGCTTTTGTTTACGCTACATTTGTTTAACTTGTGTAGAGACAGGTTGTGTTTGTTTCACCTTGCCTGCCTAAGGCACCTGATTGGTCTAATCAAACGATGAAAGTTCAGTAGCTCGGCAGTAGAGGGATAGGTGGGGTTGGCAGGCAGAGATTAGAATAAGTAGGATGATGTGGCGCCCACGCCACAAGCAAGTCTGAGGTATCAGGAAAAGACCAGATGTCCAGCTGTTTGTACTAAGAAGTGTCTTTACTTTGCAAGTGTTAAGAAGGTCTCTCTCTTGTAGGAGGGAGCAGTCTTATATATAGTCTTACAACACAGTAGAAAAACCCCAATTGGGGCAATGAGGGGGCTGTAAACCAGGACTAGAAAACAGGATGCACCTGTGTCTATCAGCTGACAACTCAGAGACCCTGTGGGGGCTAGGCCCCAACAGGAGGAATCTAGGGGGAGAAGAGAGAGAGAGAGAGAGAGAGAGAGAGAGAGAGCTGTGTTCAGCTAGCCAGCTACAAAGGAAAGCAGTAAAGTAGGACATACAGAGTGAAAGGTAAAAAGCCTCAATATAAAACATAGAAACAGGTTAAATTAAGTTATAAGAGCTACGGGGGGGCCGCGGTGCAGGGGATGGTAGAGCTGCAGAGGTGGCTCAGTGCTTAAGAGAACTGGCTGCTCTTCCTAGAGGACCTGGGTTCAGTTCTCAGCACCTATATGGCAGCTCACAACCATCCGTACTCCAGTTCTAGAGGATCTGGCACATTCATACCAATGCACATAAAATTAAGTTAAATTACATATATACTTTAAAAAATGAGCTAGCTGGGCCATCCTGGTGCATGCCTTTAATCCCAGCACGGGGTTTTAGAAGGCAGAAATCATGTCCTGGCATCTCTCTTATTTTGTTTTTGTTTTTCGAGACAGGGTTTATCTGTGTTGCTTTGGAGGCTGTCCTGGAACTCGCTCTGTAGACCAGGCTAGCCTTGAACTCACAGAGATCCGCCTGCCTCTGCCTCCCGAGTGGGTGAGCCACCAACGCCCGGCTGTGGCATCTCTTGATGGGCAGCAGGAGGAGATTTGCACAAGCACACAGTTTAAGAGAAGATATGATAGCTGGGGCATCTTGACCTTAGATTCACAGAAGGTCATCTTGCATACTCTTCCATAGGGTTCTCATCAGGGCGGTCACATTCTAGTTAAACCTGAGATGACCTCCTCAAGAATACAAGGTGGTGGGATCTCTGCATTGTGTTGTCCCCGTCACCATGGCAGAATTAATGAATAAGCAAGATCTCATTAGGAGTTCTGCTCACCACAATCTGTACCAGATCTATGCTTTTTTTTTTTAAAGATTTATTTATTACATATACACCAGATCGAATTGTAGATGGTTGTGAGCCACCATGTGGTTGCTGGGAATTGAACTCAAGACCTCTGGAAGAGCAGTCAGTGCTCTTAACCTCTGAGCAATCTCTCCAGCCCCCCAGATCTATGCTTTTTGTTCTCTCTCTCTCTCTCTCTCTCTCTCTCTCTCTCTCTCTCTCTCTCTCTCTCTCTCTCTCTCTCTCTCTCTCTGTTAGTTTTTTGAGACAGGGTTTCTCTGTGTACCCGTGGCTGGTAGTGGGTTGAGCCTATAGTTCCAGTTAGGCTGAGTACCCTATGCTGCTGCCCCCCCCATCAAGTTACCTACATAGTTATAAAATCAGAATTGTCAGTACTTCCCCTTTGTTCTGCAACAAAGTGTCCTCATGGGACCTAGTTTTTGTTGAGTGAAACTTAAACTTGCAAGCTTAATAGATACAAGTGACACTTTCACACTTTCTTTATACATATTATAACGGCAGTCTTCAACTAAGAACTGAGTGTGGTCCACAGGAACCATGAGCTGAGCTGTATCGCTGAAAGTGAACTTTCCGAGGGTCGGGAAGAGCTGCTCAACTGCCTATATCAATTACATGATATTCACCAGTAATTTTGTTAGCACCTTGCCTCACCAGGAGCACAGTGGTCCTCCTGGGGTGGTGTGGCAGGTGGGTGGGGTGAGGACTGCAGTGTCAATACTTTCCTCTTCCCTTTAAATGGCAGAGACTTGCAGTTGAAGAGTAAGCAGGCATGGAGGACTGGGGAGGTGAAGGGCCCAGGCCCTCGCTTTGATAATTCTGCAGCCATGACACGCTGCGGAAAAGACCCAGTTGGATGCAGGCCCCTGACTCAGCAGCATGTTCTGCGCCCCCAGATCTTGCCTGAGCTGCCCTATTTACTGAAAACGAAAACAAAAAACACATATGATATCCCCCCACCACCACTCCCATATAGTAAAGAACCAATCAGAGACTAGGCTGGCAGGATCTTTACTGATTGGAAGGATGGAATGCAGGAACCACTGCAAACGCCACCAAATGTTGCAATTTCCCCACCACTCTAGTTAGCCAATCAACTTAGGAAAGGTACCCTCTGTCCAGAGGTGCACCAGTTCCGAGACTGTCACTACACAATTTCTGGGCTCCCAGACTCACACCTTACTCTGTCCCCACTGAGACTCGAGGTCTCTTTCCTGCTCCACCTCTGAGTTGGGCGGAGGAGTGGTTGCATCGGATCTGGCCCCTTGGTGGTCTTTGAGGGGTCCAAACTCTGGGCACAACGGGGGTGGGGTGGGGAGAGGGAGACATGTTTGCAGGTCACACTTTCACCATTTCTCATAAGGTGGGTTACTCCTCAAGGCAAGTAAAGCTCCAGTGTGTGCAGGACTTGGCAGCCTGCCTGCAACATTAGGTCGTCTAGCTGGAGAGGAAGCTTAGGAAGGGCAGTCTTCTGTTTAGCGTGCTCTTTCGTGTGATAGTTCATTCCACCACTGCTGGTAGTGTGAGAGCCATGGTTACGTTTTACGTCTTAACTACTATGCCTAAGAGATCCATGAAACAAAGATGTCTCTGATCTGCAAGCCGCTTGCCCAGGGACAGATAGTTTCTGAAACGTTGGAGGTTAGTGTGTATTGTTTGTAACTAGTCACATGCTTTCTCGCTCCCCTAAAACAAGTTTCTTTGAAACCATCTCAAGGGATGTGCTTGATCACGTGCGGGGGGAGGTTTGCAAGCAGGAAATATGTCAGGATGTATGCTTGCTCCTGATTGGATGTAGGCTGGAAGCACAGCAGGATGTAAACCCTGATTTGGGGCTATCTTCTGGGAACCCAGAAATGGACCTGGCCAGAGCTTATCCCCAGCCAGTATTTAGCTAAAGCTTGCTTCAAATTTGACTTTAAATTGGGGTAGTGGTCTTATTCTAGATGGCAGGGTTAACAGTAGATCTAGCTGCGTGTCCTGTGTTTCCTTCCAACTAAAATGTGTAGAACCCCAGCCATTCTATCATCAGTAACTCCGTTTTCAGAATATAGCATGGCAGAGAAGACATTTTCTCACTTTATTTGCCATGTATAAGCGAGTCGGGCTCTTTTGTGATAAACACTCATTATTGCCTAATTTAGCTCATTTTACTCACTATAAAACTTTCTTTTTTCCTTTTCGTGGAGTGCGCTGAAGGGAACTGAGGCTCCACACACCAAGTCTCAACCAGTCACTAAGGGGTCTCTTTTGGTTAACGAGCTTATTTCTCAGGAGTGCAATGCTGTATGTTGTTCATGCTTACCAGTGTTTAGTTTTAAAAAATGCAGACAAGTCATTTTACATGCAACAACTGTATAGTAAACTTTTTTCTTTTTTTGGTTACCTGCTGCGATGAAGTATGTTTTTCTAGTCGTGCCAAGACTTATCCTACAATAAATTTAAGAATAAAAGCGAGTGGCCTGGTGGCACGCCTTTAATCCTAGCACTCACGAGGCAGAGGCAGGGGGATCTCTGTGAGTTCTAGGACAGCCAGGACTGTTACGGAGAAACCCCGACTCGGAAAAAAAAAAAACAAACAAACGAATGAATGAATGAATAAATAAATAAATGTGAGTTAACTCAGGAAGAATATAAATAATTTCCAGACACTACACACACACACACACACACACACACACACACACACACACACACACACACACACACACACAAGGGCTACCCAATCCCTCTTGCGAGTGGCGTGGGTACCACGCGGCTACGGTAGCCGGGAAGGCGAAAGAGGAATCCTAACTAGAACCCCGGTCCAGTCCCACAGAGGAGGTGTAATGAGCAGGCGCAGGAACTGGCTGGCGGCTCGGTTGCCATGGTGTTGCCGGAGCCGCCGCGAAGCCGGGCGCCGGCGCCGCATCTCCCAGGCGCCGCCGTCGCGGAGCGGAGCGGAGCCGCCGTGCGCGCGCGCAGTCGACGACGCTGCTTCCCCCCCCCCCCCAGGCGCCGGCGTCGAGGAGCGGGACAGCAGTTGCGCAGGCGCCGGCGCAGGCGCAGGCGCAGACGGGCGCGGCGCCTTGGTCCCCATGGCGCTGCAGTAGCGGTGCTGGTGGTGCGTGGGAGCCGGGATGAGCGCTTCCGAGGCGGACCGCGGGGCGTGGCTGCTGGTGCTGAGCTTCGTGTTCGGGTGCAACGTGCTGCGGATCCTCTTGCCGTCCCTGTCCTCCTTCGTAAGTCTGCCGGCTGGCCGGCGGGAGAGCCGGCGGGAGAGCCGGCGGGAGAGCGGGAGGAGGGCGGGAGAGGCCGGGGCGCCGGGCCCTGCCCGGGCTGTGCTGCAAGGCTTCTTCTACCTTCACCAACCGGCGCCTCTCACTGCGCTCCGGAGGGTGGGGACTCCCGGAGCCACGGTTTCTGACAGCGGGAAGCCTCAGACGCCCGGGGCATGCTGTCTGTCCTTGCACGAAGCTGCCCCGGCCGTGCATCCCCGGCTGCAGGGAGCCTCCAACCCCCGCCCCCTTCTGCTGCAGACACGGGAAGAAGGAACACTACGAGGGACGTTAAGCAAGGCTACCCTTCTTGCTCATTCGCGCTTATTCTATTATTATTATTATTGTTATTTGGTTTTTCGAGACAGGGTTTCCCTGTGGCTTTGGAAGCTGTCCTGGAACTCACTCTGTAGACCAGGCTGGCCTCCAACTCACAGAGGTCCTTCTGCCTCTGCCTCCCGAGTGCTGGGATTTAAAGGCGTACGCCACCAACGCCCGGCTTCGCGTTTATTTTTTTGATTTCTGCTTTCATGTAAGCGTGTGTGTGTATTTTGCCTGCACGTGTGTAAAGTGCCTCACATGTGTGCAGTGCCTTTGAGGCCAGAGGAAGGCACTTCATCTCCTGGTACTGGACTCACAATTTGTGAGCCACCGCGTGGGTGTTGGGAACTGAACCCGGGTCCTCTGCAAGAGCAGCCAGCCAGTGGGCTTAACTGCCGAGCCATCTCTGCAGCCTTGGGAAACACTCTTTGTAGTAAACTGGTGAACAAGAGCGTTTCCCTGAGTTTTGTGAGCTGGTCTAGCAAACCAGTGGAGCCCGACGAAGAAGGGACATAGGAACTTAACTTGTAGCTGGGCTGTGTGACTGGTGTGACTGAACTGGTATGACTGATTTGACGTGGCGGTTGGGAGTTGACGCTGCCTGCCGGTTGGAGTGGAGACCGCCTCGTTGGTGAGCCTTACACGTTTGGAACCACAGCAGCCATCTGTGTGTGGGCAGCTGGTAGGAGAGACTGAGAAACCTCTCAAGTCTTTCCTCACCGTAATCCATTAGTTTGTTTCGGTGGTTAGAGTTCCTCACGGGTCAGGTCAGGACAACAACCCCTTGTGGGGTTGGTTCATGCCTGAGTGTTTGCCCAGGGTGCATAGGCAGTGTTGTTTGCAGGAAGCACCTGGACTGGGCCTGGGCCCTGCACGGAGCCCTGTGCTGTTTCTTTTTTTTTTTTTTTTTGGTTTTTCTTTTTTTTTTTTTTTTTTTTTTTTTTTTGGTTTTTCAAGACAGGGTTTCTCTGTGGCTTTGGAGGCTGTCCTGGAACTCGCTCTGTAGACCAGGCTGGCCTCGAACTCACAGAGATCCGCCTGCCTCTGCCTCCCGAGTGCTGGGATTAAAGGCGTGTACCACCAACGCCCGGCCCTGTGCTGTTTCTGTGGGCTGTGTAGCCCCTGCCTTGAATCCACTGAGCTTAAACCCTTTGATAGTGATACCTCGGGTGGTTGCTGGGTCCGGAAGGATGATATATGCTTGTTACCATAGCGGAGAACAGGCGTTCTTTATTGGTGTTCAGATCAGGGAAGAGAGAGATCCCATTTGTCTGGGTGCTGGGTGTCCAGTGAGAGGACTATTGGGAATACCCTGGTGCAAAGAGGCCAAAATATTGCTCCCCGCAATGGTTAGATTATCCCTGCAGCATGAAAAATAAAAGACCCAGAGACAGATACTGGGATTAAGCTTCAAACTGAAGATCAGAAAAGCAAAGCAGCCGGTCACTAGCTCTGGCCTCTACCTGAGACTGAAAGGTGACCCTGGCTCCACCAAACCTCAGACTGTAACCTCTCCTCAGCGTGGTTGGAGAATCCTGAGACGTCAGTGTCTTCCTATCCTCATTGTGACTGGAGAATGGATGTCTTAAATACCTCCCCAATGTTGGGATCAAAGGCCTGTGATTTCAGGTGCTGAGGTCATCTTTGTGTGAGCTGTTTCTCTTTTAGGACTGGATCAGTTTCGGGTAGGTCAGTGTGGATTTGAACTAACAGATCTGCCTACCACTACCTCCCAAGTGGTGGGATTAAAGGTGTGTACAACCACCACCTGATCTCTGTAGCTTGCGGCTGACTTTGCTTTCCGAATCCTCAGGCATGCTTTACTAAGTCAGATAATGCAGCACCACACAATCACCCCCATGTGAAGGACCAAGTATGACAAACTGATGACAAGATGGCTGGGTTGGGAATGCAGACACCACCGTGTTCAGGTGTTCAGAGTGTAGCTAGCCTTCCTCGCTGATTCTGAGTGGTAAACTTTCCTCAGGGTGCTGTGGGTGCCAGGGCATTCGGGAAGGGTGAATGCTGCGTGCTGCACGAGGGTGACGGCTGGGGCTGGGCTGGTTGGGATTTTTCTGAGGGTCCTTCCCTTTAGGTTGGTTACAGCACGTGTAGTTGAGACTGTCTGATTCATAAAGAAGGGGATCCAGCCTTGTCTGAAGAGAAGAGGATGGCCGGGCGGTGGTGGCGCACGCCTGTAATCCCAGCACTCAGGAGGCAGAGGCAGGCGGATCTCTGAGTTTGAGGCCGGCCTGGGCTACAGAGCGAGTTCCAGAACAGCCAGGGTGAGAAACCCTGTCTTGAAAACACACACACACACACACACACACACACACACACACACACACACACACACACAGGACAGGATTGCACATGCATGGGAGATACACCGCTCAGGTGTCCCTGCCTGAGCTGACATGCTCAGGTGGGGTGAGGCTCTTCTGACTGCACAAACTCTCCATGCTTCTCCAGGCCTGGCATGGCAGACACAGGGTGAAGGTCTGATGAACGTTCAAGTGCCCAAGGAGTGGGGTGAGGGCCTGAGAGTGGCAGTGTGCGGGTGCCCAGGTGGACTTCCTGACAGACCTGCTTTGCTGGCAGTAGCATCCAGCATGAATGCCTCCGGGGCCTGGCTGGTATAGCCTACCTCTCTCTCAATGTGTAGTCAGCAGTTTTGCTGTTTGCTCCAAGCCTTGGCCAGCTCCTTCCAGGTAACTGTCTGGAGCACCTTCCTTAGGTGTCCCTTTCCACACACCAGCCTCTCAGCGTGGCCCTTCTTTGGGATTTTTGCTTTCATTTGTTGCAAATTTGTTTGTTTTTTGAGAAAGGGTTTCTCTGTATAGCCCTGGCTGTCCTGGAACTCACAGAAATCCGTCCACCTCTGCTTCCCAAGTACTGGGTTTAAAGGCGTGTGTCACATGATTGGTTGGGACACGATTTTGTGGCTTCCAAGTGTTAGGATGACTTTAGCAACCTAACAAGATCTACTCCTCGAGCCTTGCCTGAGAGGTGTGTTCCAGGGGTGATGGGTGGAGTGCTTGATTGACAGGGCCCTCCAGGTGCACAACTGGGGAACCAGCCTCCCAGGAGGAGGTTAGCCCAGCCCAAGGAGTTGCCCTAGATGACCCTGGTACCAGTGGAGAGCAGCAGGCCTCTGGGCTTGCTGTGTTTAGGTCTTGGTCCCCTCACGAGATGAGATGGATGTTGGAGACACACCCACACTGGTGTCCTAGGTTGGTCATTTTTGTGCTTGCCTGTGGGATTCCAGGTGGGAGGAGCTAGGCCGTGCAATTCATGCCACCAGCTTCCAGATCTGTCCGGCCCTTGGTTAGTCAGTGGTAGCGTAGGGTTCGACCCTTCCCAGAGTGACTCCAAGTGCAGTCTTGGGCAAGCAGAGTGCATCCTGGCCAAACGAGATTGTAGTAGGAGCCTAGTGTGCTCGCCCCAGGCATCTCGCCTCTGCTTGCAGGGTAGAAAGGAGGAAGCCCAGCTCCTGTCCTTTGTGCCCCTGGATGTCCTTACCTCCCAGGTCATCTTGTTTTGTTTTTTAAAGATTTATTTGTTTACTATGTATACACAGTGTTCTGCCTGCACACCAGAAGAAGGCCCCAGATCTCTTTTTTTTTTTTTTGGTTTTTCGAGACAGGGTTTCTCTGTGGCTTTGGAGGCTGTCCTAGAACTCGCTCTGTAGACCAGGCTGGCCTCGAACTCACAGAGATCCACCTGCCTCTGCCTCCCGAGTGCTGGGATTAAAGGTGTGCGCCACCAATGCCCGGCTGCAGTCACTGCTCTTAACCTCTGAGCCACTCTCAGCTCTCCTGAGTCATCTTGTTAAAAATTTCAAACTTCGTGCCTCAGATTATCCGTGGGTCTGGCTCCAGGGCATTTGTGAGTCTGAATCACATAAAAGATGACTTGTTCTTCTTTGGAGATGGCCCAGTGTGTGGCTCCTGTTGGTGTGGAGGGGGCCTTGCACCCCTGCTGCTCCAGCTCCCCAACCTATGGGCACACACCTCCAGGCCCAGCAGTGCCCCCGTTTTCTCTTTACAGAGTCCCTGATGTTGAATGACAGCTCTGTGACTTTAAAAACAAATGGTGTATGGGAGCTGGAGAGATGGCTCAGTGGTCAAGAGCACTGACTGCACTTCCAAAGGACCAGGGTTCAATTCCCAGCACCTACCTGGCAGTGCTAGTAGACCCAACACCCATGGCGAAACACTGGTGCATATAAAATAAAAATAAATAAATTTTTAACCCCCCCAAAAAACCGGTATATGGTCTTTAAAATTATTTTATGTGTGTATGGGTGTCTGGCCTGCATGTCTGTCTGTCCATTGCCTGCATGCCTGATGCCCATGGATCCAGAAGAGGGCGTTGGATCCCCTGGAACTAGAGTTACAAATGGTTGTGAGCCACCATGCGGCTGCTGCGAACTGAACCCCGATGGATCCTCTGTTAGTGCTCTTAACCACTGAGTGTCCCTGCAGTCCTCGAGACTTTGGTCCATTGTTGTTTTCTCCTCCAGGGCGGACCAGGCTGGAGTAACTCTCCATCTGAGTGGTGGACAGTGGGCAGCAAAGAGAGGCTGTTTCGCATGCCCTGTTCCTTGTACCAACCTCAGGCATGGCACAGTAGTGAGCCCAGTGTGTAGCCCTCGGCCCCAGGCTGAGGCGTTTGTTGTGCCGGCTCATGAGGGGCTTCAGCTCGTGTCCCTGGGCTGTGTGCGCTGGAGTTAAGGGGGCTTCAGCTCGTGTCCCTGGGCTGTGTGCGCTGGAGTTAAGGGGGCTTCAGCTCGTGTCCCTGGGCTGTGTGCGCTGGAGTTAAGGGGGCTTCAGCTCGTGTCCCTGGGCTGTGTGTGCTGGAGTTAAGGGTTTGCTCTGGCTGTAACTACAGTCTCCCTTCTGTGTTGCAAGCACTTCCACTTTTCATCTTAAAAAAACAAAGCAAAACAAAACAGCTATTCTTAGAAAGTTTGGACAAACCTGCACATGCAGGAGTTAGTCATAACAGTTTAAAAAGCATTTTCCATTGTCATACCTGCTGTGCAGCCTGCATCCGAGAATGTAGCGAGGTGGTCGGGATAGATGACACAGAGACCGGTCGGTTGCTTTAAGAAAACTTTATGCTTCCCAAGTCAGCTTAGGAGGAGACTCCCAAGAAAAAGCGCTTCCCTTTTTAAGGACTTCTGCCATCCATCCACATAAAATTCTCCAACCGAGCTCTCACAGCTCTCCCAGACTTCTCACCTTCCTGGCTGGTGGTTTAATCTCCGGCCCCAGGCCCCAGAATGGGGGGGGGGACAACACGACGATGACACCCACATCAGGGAGCAGGAAGAGGCATCTAGCCGTAGGGGGTGTCAAAGTCATGGTGGTTCAGTGAGCAAGCCCTTAACGGAGCCCTATCAAGAGCTTTATGGCACTGAATTGTTTTCAGTAAACATTATCTCACAGCTGCCTGCTCCCAGGCCGAAGGGGAAGTGGGTTTCTGCTCAAGGTCTGGTGTCCCCACATATCCCCCTTGAAGGAAGGCACGTTGACAGCCCTTTGGAGAGTGAGCAAAGGTCTTGGCTGTGTGACAAAAATGTCTGGTCTGAAGGCTTCAGTTTCCCCACGTTAGATGAGGTTCTTTCCAGCGTCACTATGTTTGTGGCGATCTCTCCTGAGTCTGGCAGGGGCTCTGCAGAGCAGCTGTTGTGTTTGAGGGGGTACTGGACGATGCTGTGTTACTGTATGTTACCCACCGGTACAGCTCTTCCCTTTGCTGATGAGGCAGGCTGCTAGCTGGCCTGGCTGGTACCTTTCTGCACTCCACCTTCCGGGACAAGCTCTGATAGTTGGTGGGTGCCACCTGGTGGCCGCTGTTGTCTTGCTCTGGCTTGGCTGCAGGGCTGTTTCTGTTTCATGACTCCCCAGTGTCTTCCTGCAGCACCTAAGCAGTGTAGTAGCTGGGCCTGTTGGAAAGCCGGTCTTGGATTCCAGCCTGTGTAAGGGGCACGTAGAGTTAATCGTCTGGGTCTTGGCGAGCACATGCAGGCTCCTCTTTGGAGCTGAGGGAACCCACTCTTCTCTGCGTGGAAGGACACTGATGCTGGCCTCCTCCCTGCCAGGTTTCCAGGGTGCTGCAGAAGGATGCAGAGCACGAGTCGCAGATGAGGGCGGAGATCCAGGACATGAAGCAGGAGCTGTCCACTGTCAACATGATGGACGAATTCGCCAGATACGCTAGGCTGGAAAGGAAGATCAACAAAATGACGGACAAGCTCAAAACTCATGGTACTTGTCTTGCGGTCGCTCGTAACCTGGCAGGCGTCATGAGGGCCTATCAGGGGAGGCCTTTGTATATGGGCTTGAGGTACATGCTTTGCTTCCTAGCTGGCTGCACAGTGGTAAGACCTTGTAGTTGTAGGGAGGATCTCCCACAATAACTCTGCTTCTCCTTATTTGCTGGTAAACATTTGCTTTCTAGATATAGAAATCATTGTAGATTTTTCTTTATTGTAGATTTTCATTTTCAGTTTGGCACTTTACTGAGGGAAGTCCAGATGAAGATCACACAGTGGGTCCTCAGGGCACTTTGTCCCACTCTCAGGAGCATGCCCACAGTGTGTAGACGTCAAGGAGCAGCTCCTGTGCCAAGGATGGTGCACACTTGAGTCCCAGTGCTCTGAGGCAGAGTCAGGCAGGTCTCTGAGTTCAAGGCCAGCCTGGTCCACATGGTGAGTTTCAGGCTAGCCAGGGCTAATTAGTGAGACATACATGCATGCAGGCACACATGCTCTCTCTCTCCCAAGCATGTATGCACACACATGTGTCTTCGGAGAGCAGTGTGTCTGTCCTACGAGGCCCTGCTGGGTTTGTAAGGTAGAGCAGGTCTCATGCTATAGAACAGGCCCCTGCAGGCCTGGGAGAGCTGGACCCCGGCTGGAGGTTCAGTGACACATGGGTTAGAAAATGGAGATGGTGTTTAGTCTTGTTGGTCAGTGCGTCAGGAAGAGTCTCTGGTGAATGACTTGCAGGGATTGCCGGATGCAGTCTGAATAGCATAGTGATACAACTTTTTAAATTCTGTAAGTTAGCATGCAGAATAAGGAATTTCATCATGGTGTTTCATGCTTACGTGTTGTACTTTGTCCTGTTTGATATTTCTAAGTATATCGGTTATTTTGTTTATAATTAGAAGGTGTTTTATAAGGGAAAATAACATTTCTGTGTATTTAGGTGTTTTCTCTATTTTGTAGGACTAGTTCATGTTTCACCTTCTTTTCCTTTCAGTGAAAGCGCGGACAGCTCAGTTGGCCAAGATCAAATGGTTTATAAGTGTTGCTTTCTACATACTGCAAGTGAGTGTGTGGTGTCGCCTGGGCTCTGGACAGCAGTTCATTCCTTTCCTTTTACTTCGTGCATGCGTGCGTGCATGTGCATGTGCGTGTGTGTGTGTGTGTGTGTGTGTGTGTGCACGCGTGTGCGTGTGTGCCCGTGTTTTTCCCCATGTACAGGGGCCAGGGGCGGATGTGGGGTGTCTTCCCTGATTGCGCTGCTCTCCAGCTTGTACACCGAGGCAGGTTCTTCACTGCACCTGATTTAGCTAATCCAGTCAGCTTGCTTAGGGGACTCTCGTCTCCAGCTGCTGAGCTCTGAGATTCAGACACCGGGCTGCTGTGCTCCCATCACACATGTGGGTGTTGGAGTTCAAACCTGCATGGCAAGCTCTTTACCTGCTGGGCCATTGATCCAGCTCCCCGCTGTGGATTTCTTTTTTTTTGTTTGTTTTTTTTTTTTTTTTTTTTTTTGAGACAGGGTTTCTCTGGGGCTTTGGAGGCTGTCCTGGAACTAGCTCTTGTAGACCAGGCTGGCCTCGAACTCACAGAGATCCACCTGCCTCTGCCTCCCAAGTGCTGGGATTAAAGGCGTGCGCCACCAACGCCTGGCCCACTGTGGATTTCTAAGACTGAAAAGAAATATGTCTCTGGAGACCTAGGCTCTCAGAGCTGGTTTGCCTTGCCCTACTCTGGAAGCTCCAGTGCTCCTTGCTCCCTGGTGGGTGTAAATAGTGCTCCCATCCTTCAGGTAGGAAACCAACTGTTTTCTTTTCAAACTTATTCTTTTTGGTTTTTTTTTGAGACAGGGTTTCTCTGTGTACCTCTGGCTGTCCTGGAACTTGCTCTGTAGACCAGGCTGGCCTCAAACTCACAGAGATCTGCCTGCCTCTGCCTCCCAGTTGCTGGGATTAAAGTAAAGGTGTGCACCACCACCACCTGGCAAATGTTTTACTCATTTTTATGTGTGTGAGTGTTTTGCTTGCAACTATGTCTGTAATATACCATGTGTGTGTCTGGTGTCCTTGGGGGTCAGAAGAAGGCATCAGATCCACTGGGACTGGCTTTAGAGACAGCTGCAAGCGACCCTTTGGGTGCTGGGAATTAACGCAGATCTCGTGCAAGAGCAGGCAGTGCTCTTAAATGCAGAGCCATCACTAGCCTACCAACCGGTTTTCCTCATTGCTTGGCCCCTGGCATTCTTACCTTCTCGGGGGGATTTGGTGCTGCTGGTGGGAGGCTGCACAGCTGACTGACTGGCCGGCGCGTCAGTAGCTGCTGCGAGTGACCTGGGGTTTTAGTGCTGTGCGTGGGGGGGGTGGTCTTTTCTGAGGTAAAGCACTCATGCCAGTTCCCCTAAGGATGCGGTGTGGAGAAAGGCTGAGGTGAGCTGGCGCAGGGCGCTCGTATTTGATAAACTTGTGTTCCAGAGGGAGGTGCCTGGCAGGCGCCCTCTTCAGCCTCCTCCTCTGAGCAGGGCGCTTGGGGCAACACAAGTTGCTTCTGGGAAAGGACAAGAAGTAAAACAGTCTTCGCCAGCTTGGAAATGGTGGGAGTGGCAGAGGGATCACCTCTACATGGAGCACCAACACTGTAGGGAGGACTGTGCTTACTAGGATCTTGAAGTCATGACTGCTTTTCTATGTGGCATGTGGTTCAGCTGCTGAGGTTGGGCATTTCAGGTGGACTCAGCTCATGTAAATAGTGAACATATGGTTCCTGTGTTGGGTAAAGTGCCAGTTCCCATGAGAAGGAAGGCCCGCCCACCTGTTACCACTGTGTGATGCTTCATCTAGAGTCCTGTGTGCGTCTCTGTGCCTGTGTGCGTCTCTGTCTGTCTGTTTGCCTGCCTGCGTCTGCATGTCTGCACGTGCGAGGGCTGACTGGGGTGTGAGGCCTCCACTAACCATGTCTTCCTCCAGGCAGCACTGATGATCTCGCTCATTTGGAAGTACTACTCCGTCCCCGTGGCTGTGGTGCCCAGCAAGTGGATCACCCCGCTAGACCGCCTCGTAGCCTTTCCTACGCGAGTAGCAGGTAGGTGGTAGAGGTGTGTGGTAGGGGATTAGGCCACCTGACCTCGTCCTCACTGTCCCCTTAGCAAGCTGCCCCTCCTATCTGTCTCAGCCTTTTTGGGGGTCTAGAGAAGATGCTTGCAAAGTCACTTGAGTGCTCAGAGACCACCATCTCCTCCCTGTGACTGCTGCACCGAGTAACTCGCTTCTGTTGGCTGTTGTTTTCAGGTGTTAAAGGTTTTTCAGGTTAGGAGGTTGTTGAGACAGAGTTTCACTGTGTGGTCCTGGCTGCCCTGCAACTCTATTTGTAGATCAGGCTGGCCTCAAGCTCACAGAGATCTGCCTGCTTCTGCCTTCCCAGGGCTGATAGGGTTAAAGATGTGCTCCCCCATGTCCTGGCAACATAGGAACACTTTCTTAAAAATCATGCCAGTTGCCTTTTGTGTGTACTTTTAGTCTAGCACTCAGGAGACAGGCAGGAGGATCTCTTGAGTGCAAGGTCTACATAGAGAGTTTCAGACCAGCCAGGGCTGCTTAGAAAACTGGGAAGGAAAAAAAAATTCTGCCAGTTACAGATCCCAGTAATGTTGTAGTCTGTTTCTTCCATTCTGTCTTTGCCATCTGTTTTAAAATGGTCAAGGTCATCTGGCCCAAATCATTTTATACCCTTTTCACTTTCTCATGTGTCTCCTAAGTTCAGGCTGCTGTAATGAGGTACCACAGTGGATAACTTAAACATACAGATCTGCTTCCTGACGGCTGGAATCCAGGAAGGGGCTGTGGATTGGTTGGGACCCATTTTGTGGTTCACAAATGGCAAACTCTCAAGGGCAGGAGGAGGAAATGTTAGACTGCACTGTGTACGCTTCTTCCTAAGGCTGCCCTGCCCCATGACCTCAGCCTCTCCCAAAGGCCCCACCTAATACTGTCCCCAGGGTCAGGACTTAAGGATATTATGGTACAAAGATGCAGATCATGGCACTCTGTCAGTACATTTCTTCACCAAAGAATCTTCTTGTTACTTGAATTTTCCTGTTGGGACACTTTCTCGGGTCCTGATTTTTGCTAATAGAGAAGATAATTCTGGATGTGGTGGGTCATGCCTGTAATCCCAACCTCTGGGAGGCGGAAGTGGGTGGATTGCTGCAGGTTCAAGGCCATCATGGACTACAGTGTAAGAGCCTATAAAAAGCCAAGTGTCTGTTGTTGCCAGTCTTGGGTTCTGATGTGTGATCATACTGTAGTGAAACACATGATTGAAAGGAAGCAGTTTCAAGGATTCAGTTTAGCTGTGCTCTGTTCCCCTCCTCTCTCTCCCCCTCAACTGCCAGGCTCAGGTCTAAGGAGCAGCAGGCTGCCGCCCTTGCTGGCACTCTGCTGACCTGCTGGCACTCTGCCGCCCTTGCTGGCACTCTGCTGACCTGCTGGCACTCTGCCGCCCTTGCTGGCACTCTGCTGACCTGCTGGCACTCTGCCGCCCTTGCTGGCACTCTGCTGACCTGCTGGCACTCTGCCGCCCTTGTTTACAGTGCTTTTTTGCTGTTGTTTGTTTTTCAAGACAGGGTTTCTCTGCGTGGCCCTGACTGTCCTGGCACTCGCCCTGTAGACCAGGCTGGTCTCTAACTCAAGAGATCCTCCTGCCTCTGCCTCCCGAGTGCTGGGATTACAGGTGTGTGCCACCACCACCCGGCTTTATAATGCTTTTGTGAGAAGTGAAAAAGAAATAGTGGTATAGGGTGTTCTGACATCTCTGGCAGGAAAGGGACATTAAGACAGCACCCACTGTTTGGGGTGGTCCAGCTTGGTGCACAGGGCACCCTGGCTATGATCTGTCCTCTGATGAGCCCCTGCTCGTACTCCTCAACACTCGGAATTGGCACCTTCCTCCCTGTGGGTTGATGGTCACAAAGGTGTTGCCAGTGTATCCTCTGACACGCGTTTCTTTCTCTTTAGGTGGAATTGGAGTCACCTGTTGGATTTTAGTCTGTAACAAAGTTGTGGCTATTGTACTCCACCCTTTCAGCTGAGGGGAAGACGTGCAGCTACAAGCCTTTACAGAAAGGGTTCTATAGGGTAAAGAGCTGATTGCACAGAGGCCCACGCGTTCTGGCCTGTGTGTTTTGGAATATGTTTGCTTTTGTTCATCACCGGAGAGGCTTGTTCGAGTCAGGATTTTCTATACTTATCATTGAGCCAGAAAAAGACCAGTTATGACACTCACGTATCGTTGACATAGATTTGGATCCACCAAGTGGCATTTGCATGCTGGCACTTGCACTGGGTATGGTTTGGTTCTGTTGCCAGACTTCCCTAACAACTCCAGTAGTGCTGTTTTTAATTTTAGAAAAAACTTTTTTTAAGAGAAAATACCACTACTAGAACTCTGCTTTTTATTTGACAAAGTTCAGCTAAAAGTGACACTAGTGGATGTTGCTTGGCTTGTCCTTCTGTTTGAAATGTCATGTTAGACCAGGTTCATTGTATAAATGTGTGAAAAGTATCTCCATGTATCTGTTAATTTTTCAAAGTTGCTCCTATGTGCGTTCATGTGGGACCACGTTATACTGTTTTTATTTAAAGCATTTCAAATGAAGTATGTCTTTAAAGCATTGGGTGTTTATGTTGTGTAGAGTGGAACAGAATTAAGCAAGTTCCAGTTCATCTGAACTGAGACTCATTTGGCTCATGAAGTTAAAAGGCAGAGTTCTGCCACGTCTGGGTGTTTTTGTTTTGAGGCAGAGTCTCTAAGTGCGGTCCTGGCTGTCCTGGAGTTCTGTACATAGACCAGACTGTCTTTGAACCCACAGAGATCCGCCTGCCTCTGCCTCCCCAGTACTGGGATTAAAGGTGTGTGCTGCTCCAGCGCCAGCTCTGTTTTTGAAGCACTTTTCCTAGTTACAGTATTTGCCAGTCCTGACAGTCTTATTGCAGGAGTAGCCTCAGGGCCTGGACTGCAGGCTGCGGTCTTTGACTCTGGGGAACCGTAGCACAGAAAAGCTACACGCTACCACAGCTCTGGCTGTCCTGGAACTCACTACGTAGACCAGGCTGGCCTGGGACTTACAGACATCCACCTGCCTCTGCTTCCCAGCTGCTGGGATCAAAGCATAGCACTGGGTTTTGAAGGATCATATTTATATTCTTATGTTTCCTCGTGATGTCTCATAAATTGTTTTTTTGACTGAATGTACTGTGAACAGGCCGAGTGTATGGCCGTTTGGTTTGCTGTCAGATGGAATACCCCCAGAGCAAGCTTGAGAGTCCACGGATTTAAATTTAGCAGACACTGTGGATTTGCATGGCCCCATGGTTACTTGGCTGTATTATAAAGCGCACAAATGGAATGCTGCGGTAGGCGTAGCCAACATTGCTTGGAAGACCTGTCCAGCAGCTCCAGGGACCTCAAGGACCCAGGAGGCTGGGCCAACACTGGAAGCTGCAGAATCTGGGTTCCCTCCAGGGATTCAGCACCTGGGGCCAAGGGAGGGTGTGCACCTTAGTCCTTTTTGTAGGGAGCTGCAATCTGGAGTGGTGCTTAAGCCTGCACCGTTTAGGCAGCTGGGGTTGAGGCCATAAGCCTCTCAAAGTATGCATGACCCCAGCTGATCCTGCAGGAAAAAAGTGACAGGAGGGTTAGTTTGTTCCCAAATGTTAATGCTCCCACATGCATAATGTGTGTACGGCTGAGAGGGGGACATCACTGTGTCTTTTCCCCCGATATTGTATTTGTTTAAAACTGGGTAATAAACAGGATTATCAAGGGGAAGGGTGCAGTGGAAAGCGTGCTCTATCCTCCTGCCCTGCCGTGGTTTCGAAGACTCCACTCTTACCTGCTTCTCAGGGTTTCCGAGAACACGGTCTGTGTTTATGAGTGTCGGTGCATGCACTTAAAGGCTTTAAACAATTATACAAATGAAGCTGCGTCAGGCGTCTCGGATCCGTTTCCATCCGATTCTGCAGAGACTCGTGTGGTTCCTCCCCACGGCAGCCACCCTGGTGAAGCTGATGGAGAGCAAGGAAGGTTTTCAGGAGGCCCTGGCAGCCGCGGGAGACGAGTCATAGTTGTGGACTTCTCGTCTACGTGGTGTGGACCACGCCAAACGACCAACCTTCCCGTTTTTACAAAAAGGGCCAAAAGGTGGGTGAATTCTCGGGCGCTAAGGAGGAAAGGCTTGAAGCCTCTCTTACTGAGTTTGCCTGATCATGCCCTGGAAAACGTAACCAGCCACCAGCTGTTTAAAACCTCTAAGTTTTTAAATTTTCAAAACAATATGAAGTGTGGAGAACCTATACCCAACTGCCATCTGGTTATAAATGATTTTAAGTGATTTTTTTTGATACAGGGACTTACTATGCATCCCTGGCTGGTCTAGAACACACCGTGAAGACCAGGCAGACCCAGACTCAGATCACCCTGCCTTCCCCTCCTGAGTGTTGAGATGTAGGTGAGCAGCCACATCCAGCCTCATTACCCCGCTTAGCAGGCACTGTTCGCAGTTTCTAAAGGTGTTAATATTCACTAGCCCATAAACATCTGGAGACTGTGGCCAGTAAGTTGCTCCTGTAGTAAATGAAGGCGAGTCACACAGTGTAGGCTGGGAATACAGATTTTTTATAGCTCCAACCAAAATGTTAGACCTGAGCAGCTAGCTTGAGCATACAGTTTTAGAATAGGAGTAAGAGAAAAGGTCATTATGTAACAAAATAATAAATCTCAACAACAAAATAGACTCCTGTGCAGGCACAGGGGCTCTCAAAGGCAGGCACTTAGACGCTCTCGGCTCGGCTGAGCAAGAGACCAGTGACTCATGATGCCAAGCTTGAATCCCCGCACTGTCTTCGTTTGAGTCTGCTGGCCAGTGCCTTTTCCATGCAGCTGTGACAACAGTCCTGCTGACAGAGTTTGAATGCCTTAGGCTGACCAAGAGTGGCTGTGAGTCCCAGATCTCCAAGCTCAGAAATAAACCAGTCTTCTTGAGAAGAGTGGACATGTTCCACCTTTATAATAAAGAAGTAAGTTTGTATTTAAATGTTGCCATTGATCAAGATACAGTGGATTATTTTATTAGATAGCAATAAAGCAAATTACCCATGGTCCATCCAAGTACTAAAACAGACACTGTAAGCTCTCACACGGTAAGATTAAAAGGAACGTATCTAGTATATAAACTAGAATGTATTCAGCTACTGTTGCATTTAAATAACTGTTTTCCTATTTCCTTCGGTGGGTGAGGCCTGAATGGACCGCACCACGGTGGCTCTGGAGTCCCCGAAGGGGTTGCTGGCGGAGGCCTGGCTGGGCTCCAGCTGCTGGGCCTTGCTGGCCGCCTCGCCATTGGTGGGGCCACCCCTGCCCGCGAAGCCTGCCCCGAACAGCTCCTCCATGAGGCTGCTCTTCTTGTCTCGGAACGCCGTCTCCTTGGCTTTGGCCCTGGCCGCCTTGCCGAACGAGGGCTCGTAGCCGGCAGGCTCCAGATGCAGCTCCTGGTCGCTGCGGTGCTTGCCCACGCCGTGGCGGCAGCGTGGGCTGCTCAAGGCCTGCCCGCAGGACGTGGGCAGCCCGTGGTGCAGGTTCTCAGTGGCCTCAGTGAAGGAGTAGTGCTTCCGTGGCCGAGGGTTCTTGCTCGGGCACGGCACGGGCTCCGCATCAGCAACATTGGCCTCACGGGCCTCAAGTACATCGCCCACCTCAGCTGCTGTCCTGGCCGGGACCTCGCCCTCTGCGTTCACGGGGACCTCGCTTCCCCTTGGAATTGGCTCTACTTCTGGTGGGATGGCTTTCTTCTCTTGATCTTCCCTTTTTTCTTCTTGCCTCCTAATAGTTTCCACAGAAGTTTGTGGTTTTGGGTGTTCGACCTCCATTGCTAATTCTGCATTGGAAAGATTAAGTGCTCTCAAACAAGAAATAGAATCACCCCCCCCCCCCATTATTGCTCAGTGGCTGAGGGTGCAAGCTGAGGGCCTGAGTAATCCCATCCCTGGCATCCACTAGAAAGCAAAATCCCAAAGCTGGGGGTGGCTATGCCGGACTCTACGCCCAGCACTGTGGGGTTGAGAAAGACCGATCCTGGGCATCCCTGGCCGACCAGCCTAGGCTAAAGGGGAGCTTCGTTCAGCAATAGCCCTGGCCCGAAGCGATGAGGCCAAGAGTAGTGGAGGAAGAAGACATGGTGGCCTGCCCTGGTCTCCACCGATTATTTGGGGCTGAGGGTGTGACCCGGTAATAGAGCACTTGCCTAGTGTGCCAGGTTTGATGCCTCAGCTCCATAAAACCAACCAGCCCCAAACAGAAAAACCTCGGTGGATTTCCATTTCAGGATGGCATGTTAGCACACCTCTAGATTTCCAGACAAGCCACTGAAGGGACACAAGAGGTGAACACCCGCAGGGCACTAACACACAGACGAGGGCATTGCTAATAGGCTTGGCTTTCCCAGACTGTCCCAAATATGTGGGGATTAGGAAAAGAAGAAAAGGATTATTCATGCATAAATACTAAAAAGCTCTTCTCTCGAGGGTATTAAGATATGTTAAACATCAATTAACACAAGAACCTTTTTCTACTCATCAAACAGGGATCATTTCCATCAGAAGCTGAGGGAATGGCCCACTCATGGGTGTGGGAATTGGCACTTACTAGTGGAATTTAAGTGAATACATTCTTAGGCCCAGCACTTCCATATCTAAGAACAAGCCTACCCAACCAGATGGCTGCAGGACTGTGTGTGACGCAAGCATGTTCAGTCAAACGCACAAATATGCCAGGGACAGTTGGTGAAGGGCAGACAGCACGCTGCTGTCGGGGTTCTGGGCAGCTGTGAGCAAGTGGCCTTATGGGAGTGACAACTCTACACAACATGAGCTAAAGGTATTCTGCATTTGTTCCTGTTGATGGTGTGTGTGTTTGCATGTGCACATGCACACACATGAACCATGCGTCACCATAGTATATGCTCAAACAATATATCACATGAACAAACTTTCCAAATTGGCTTAAAAATAAGTGGAAAGGGCTGGAGAGATGGCTCAGTGGTTAAGAGCACAGCTGCTCTTCCAGAGGACCTGGGTTCAATTCCTAGCACCCATGCAGCTTATGCTGTCTGTAACTCTAGTTCCAGGGGATCCATCACACTAGGCATGCATGTGGTACACGTATCTCTGCATGCAGGCATGATACGTGTGTGTGTGTGTATGTATGTATGTATAAATAAGTGGGAAAGTTAAGTGAACACTGACTAGGGGAAATGCAGCAGCCTTGTGAAGGAATGCTGCTAAATTGATAATTTAAACTTTGGTTGACTTCACAGCGAAAGCATGGCCCTGCCAGGTCCTCTCCTCAACTCTCCTCTCAGGCCTGAGGAAATGCTCACTTCCTGCTCAGCATTGCCGGTTCCCCCAGTTCAGTTAGCAGTGATGAAGTATAGAAACAATGTGGCCAAGTCTTCAGGATTCTGAGGGAAATGATAACCTAGGATTTTACTCTGTGATTATCAATCATCTGTGTGGGTACAAGAGCGACATGCCAGGTGGAAGGCACAGACCTGCCCAATGGCCACCTGTCCCCAAGGAGCTCTAGGAGGTGGCAATGAGATTTGTTATGCAAAGATGAGGACAGGGTTTAGCAAACAGAAGATTCTATGGAAGCGAGTGGTGATGGGAACCTGTGGGGAATTCTGGGAGATCCCGGATGCCTCCCTGCAGCAGCCAGGCCAGGACCAACCTGTGCATCCCCACTCCCTTTCCCTCCAGGCTCCTCTGCACCAGGGGAGCCAGGGCTCTGCCCCGCCCTGTGGCCTAGGGGGACTGACTTGGCTCAGCCTGCTCTGAGCTGCTCTCCTGAGCTGGAAGCTAAGCTTGGTGATCTGAGGTCTGGACATTCCTTCTCTGACCTCTTCATGACCTTGTTGGCTGAGTGAGCCCTGAACTTGCTGCAAGGCCCTTTATGCCCGGTTGGAGACCCTCCGAAGTTGTTCAGTTACCTTCATGTTTTCTCTTAGACTCCTCTTGCTTTGGTAATTTACACACATAGTAAGAAATTTCATGGTTTATTTCGGTTGACTTTTCTTTATGACCAATGCTTCCAAAGGTCTTTTTACTCTATAATTTAGAAAAGCAGTAAAAAGCGTGTTTAGTATATAAAAATATAATTTTAAATTAAATTTTAAAATAAATATCCATGCTTTTTGTATACAACAAATAACTGCTTTTAGTTACTCTTCTCCCCACCCCCATCCCCACCCCCAACCCCGCTCAGAGACAGGGTTTCTTGTCTAACAGTCCTGGCTGTCCTGGAACTCAGGCTGGTTTGAATTCAGAGTTCCAGCTGTCTCTGCCTTCTGAGTTTTGGGATTAAAGGTGTGTGCCACCACACCCAGCCAGCTAGTCTGTTTTTGTTAAGACTTTCTAGACAACGCAAGATTTCAGAGTTCTCATACCTTCGTTGTCCACGATGGGACATCTGACTTTTGGGTTTCCTGGTGTCTCATATTTACAAATGGCAAACTTTTTCTGTCTGCTTGTACTGATTTTGTTGAAGAAACTATAAAATAGGTGGATTAGACGTGAGAAACATTTTGTATTCAGAAGCTTTACTGCTTTTGAATATGAAATAGCACTTAAGCAGGCAATGTAAGCATACAATACACTATAATATTACAGGACACATTCTGTAGACAGGCAACATGTGGGGGTGTTCCCTCTTTCCCTTGTTCTGTCTTATTTTAGGCCTCAGAGGTGATGAGTCATGGTGTTAAGGGGAGACTGGTG